CCAGATAACTTTTAGTTAACCATATAAAAATCAACCCTTAATGTAAAGTTAGTAGCTGTAACACATAGATTATAACTACCTAAGATCGATTAAGACTAAGTATATTCAATTTCAAGTTTTTTGCAGATAGTACAGAGTTTAAAATTGCTTCTTATGTAGATAAAAATAGTTTAACAGCAGACTTAGGTCTTAATTCCTTGAGACGGTCGAAAAACACGTTTTTGTGACGAAAATGGCTGCTAAAATGCTTTAGAGCAACGTAGACTTGAGTACCTATCTATATATGTACTATCAGTGTCATAAGTGCATGGATGATTCTAAATCAAAATCGTTTGTACGGCGTTTCATCGCCTTAATTATATACCATGGACGACATAGATGGCGCTAGTATACTAGTGGTATTGAAAAATATACATTTATAGTTTTTATCAGATACAAAGTTATTAACTTAATAAATTTTTATACAAATTAATGCTACGATATTCCAAACCTTTTTAAAGCAAAGCACGCAATAACCAGGATTCGAACTCGGTAGCATAAAATTAACCGATGCCACTAGCCATTAGGCCATTACGTAACCTTGAAATGTATTGAAATTATCCTACCCTTTATTATATTGAAGTTGTTTAGCAACTATAACCCGATCATAAATTTCAAAACAGTTGAGGGTAATTTAATATTAACTATAAAAATTAAACCTTTTTGTTCAATCGAGGTTCAATCATAACATTCTTTACTATCTTTGAGTGAGTTCAGTCACGATTTGTTTAACAAGTTTTTAATATTTATTTTTATTATGAATTTTCGTTCAAATGTTGATATGGCTACGAGAGCCCAAATAATAGCATTGCATAATCAAAGCTTAAATTATACTGGAATTTCTAGAGAAACTGGCTTAAACGTAAGTATTCTTATAAATGACCGTTTGTTATTTATTTTATTATCCATGGTTAACGATACATGAAAATAATAAATAATACACGTCCCTTACAGGTAAAGACTTCCACTTTATGGATATCTAAAGCTGTTTCAAGAAGAGGGTTCATTGGAGCACCGTAGTGGATCTGGCAGAAGACGTGATATTGACTCAGACCAGTTTCAACTTATGGGGCAAGGTTATGAGGAAAATTACTGGAGCATTGTCATCTTCAGTGATGCAAACAGTGAAAACTACATAGATGTGCTGAATGACGTCATGAAGATGTGCTAGTGATAACGTTCGTGCAGGACAATTGTCCTATGTGTAATGTTCCATAATTGTGCAAGTGTTTAGTCAGCAATCAGACATACGGATTATTCCTTGGCCAGCGAGATAGGAGAAATAGGATCGATAAAAATGGCGGCTACACTAGTTCTTAAAAGAAAAGACATTGTTGACTATAGGATTAAGCAATTACAAGACCGGGATAGCTATAATTTATTTAATGGATAAATGTTCAAACTTGGTGTTAGTAGGATAAATTTATTGACTACTTTATAACCAGCGACTGTTATACAGTAATGATTTTAATGTTTTACTAAATATGAGAAATAAAAATAAAAACAATATTAATATTTACAGATGCTATTGATTGCAAAATAATAAATTATTTATTTATTAATTACTATGAACAATTCGTCCCATATCTAGTGAATGCTATATCCCGGTCTTAGAAATGTTATTGATTTAAGGTCTAGCTTCAATTTCTTCCTTGTTCTGGAACGAATACTTAAGCTATGAGCCTTTTTCATAACATGATGCACAAAATGAATCACTTTAGTCAATACTTTAATTAAATTTTATGGGGAGGTAAAATAGTTGCAGAAGTAAGGTTGCATATTATATAGAATCGTAGATATTATAACATTGAGTTTAAAACTAACTAATAAATGACTAGCACAACATAATTTTGATTTAAAATACTTATTAATCTTATAAAAAGTGTAATAAATAATGTGTCAGTTAGCTGAAAAGTTATTAGGTAAGAGTATACACTATATAAGAAAGGAATAAATATTATGTTTTAAGAAATAAATGTCTGAAATTATAATGTCACTAAACTAGTTTTATTTGTTATCCTTTATGAGAATTAAACTTAGTATTAGTCTTAATCTGTAAGAAAAATATGTTACTTTTACATTAATAGTTAGCACATATTATAAAAGTTATTTATATATATTTATTAAAATAATTTTATTCTAAAATAATATGTATATTTATTTATTTTTGTTATCTTTTATAAATATTAAACGTCAAATATTTTATTTATATATTATTATTATTGATTTTATATAAAAAATATAAAAAAAAACCATTGTTAAAAAACCTGAATTTAAAAATGATAACCCGGAATTGAACCGGTGCCCTTCGACTTCATTATACTATCATTCTTATTTACCCGAGCTACCGATCGCATTTATAATGACATCGAAAATGCGGGTTAGTTTATAACTTTTATTATTGTCTATTATTAATTATTGACGCCATCTTTTAATTGGTTTGCTTGACTTGACTTAGATGGCGCTATATTAAGTCCTCGGAAATGTGAAAATTAACATAATTTATGTGTATTTGAATATAAATATATTATTGTTTCTTAATTATTATTTTAACCATTAAAAACCTTATTGTGTGCCTCTGCAGTGTAAAGTATTCAAGCTTTGCAGGGTTATTTTCATTTAAAAGCAGCGCCATCTAGTTATCATTGGTAACGTTATGCAAAACCTGTCAGTCAATAGTCGACCTTAAGCTCTCCATGCATTTTTGTCACCCTTAGTACATCTTTATATATGTACTAGCTTTTGCCCGCGGCTTGGCTCGCGTTAAGAAATATTCATTAGGTATAGTTTCTGCGGCTTTACTTTTGTTTAGCGTGTGTTAAAAATTAAGGCCTCATCTTAATTGTAAGTAAAAAAAAACACTTTTTTATTTCTTTCTTAAGTCAGTGTAACGCTGTGTGTTAACTTATCATATTGTTTATTACAAATAACAATTCCTTAATAATTGACAAATAGATAAATACATCAACAAAGAAGTTAAAAATTAGCGTAAACTATACTAGGAATCATAACAATTTTTTTTAGTAGATATTCGGTTACAAGAATACTATATCTGATTCAATCATCCAATGGTAAAAATATATTGATAATTTTGTATATCGACAGATCAATGAATAAAATCATAGTTATTTTACAATGTTTTATTGTATACTACCCAACCTTAGTCCGAGAGCCTTTTAAACGCAGAGTAATATACTTACTTCAAGAATTTCATGATCTTCTTGAATAGAACGTTTCTGTGTAAAAGTTAGGAAGTAGTAAGAAATGAAAGTTTCACTGAAAGTGGACACCTGCTTCCGACAGTTACAGTTTTTATCGCAAAGAAGACAAATTTTTCTTCCCTCATAAAAAAACTACTTAAGCAAATCGGCTAAGCACCTAAGTACTTTGAAGAATTTTACCAACTGTCTATTTATTTATTTATTTTAGGCTTCTCAACAATGAGTATACTATACTACATAAATTGTACATTTCAAATTTAATTCTAAGTGCCCCATTACTTATAGAGAAGCACAGCATGCACTATAATATTATGCGCGGTTATTAAAATAATGAATCTATACATGTAGTCAGTCATTGTTCCTGATATAACCTAATCCTATGTAATCATAGGCACATTCCAGTCATTAGAAATGACTTCCCCCTTTCGGGATGGGGTGAGAGGGTGTATCTGTATAGTCATTTGTAGACTAAAAACCACCCCGTGCCGAGTCTTACTACAAACCTGGACGAAGTAGTTTATTATTATTTTATTTCACCGGCTCGATTTGAGGGATAGTACGGTCCGAAGCCAAGTTCAAATCCTCGCAAGTGTCTCAGTTTTGATTTGGTGCTGTTGTAGATCATTTTAGTTTTAATTAGTATTACAATACCGCCAACGTATCTTGGCGAGTCTGAAGTTAGCCGATTAGCTGCGCAGTACACAATTTTGTTCCTAAAATATCCATTGCGCAGACAAACGGCTAACTTCATACTTGCTAAGATACGTCAGCCGTACTGTACTTTATAAGTTCTTACTCTATAGAATTCTTTTATATCTGTTACTAGCTCCTGTCTCGCGGTTTCATCCGCTGCTCGGCTCCTACACATTGTAACATAATGTTTTATAGCCTATAGCCTTCCTCGATAAATGGACTAAGAAACACAAAAAGCATTGTTCAAATTCAACCAGTAGTTCCGGAGATTAGTGCGCGTTCAAACAAACTCTACGGCTTTATACTATTATAAGTACCTATAGATGAGAGTTGTTAATGATAGAAATAAATAAATTTATTTATTTATTTATTATTGCTTAGAAGGTACATTTTACATTATAAAAAGTATAAAATGTCCAACAAAACTGTATACACAGTTTGTCTGTTGGATCAGATTTCTAAACTATTGACTTACTATAGGTTCTATTAAGTTAAGTTTACAATAATAATAAAATTAATATATTAATATATATTAGTATTATATATGTTAAGTTATGTAAGTAGTATTAGCAGGTTAATATTAAGTACGTAAGTATGAAAATCAAAGATTAGATAGATATAATCGGAGTATAGATATAGCATAAGTAAGAAAAGTAGTCGGTAGTTAGGTAGTAGTAGTAGGATAGTAATACAATAAAAAGTTAAGGCAGTGTACCGAGTAGGTGTTTTTTTAGTTTTATCTTAAATTTATTTTTCCTATTTTCGTCTCTGATGTCGTCTGGTAAGCTATTGAGTACGTATGGGATAATTGTTGAGATTTATAACATAAAAGAAACCAACTAACGCCATCTGTTTGCAATATGTGAACTATTGTTGTCTATGAAGCTGTGTATGTCTAGTGTCTATCTATGATTTAATCAAATTCTCTTCCGCCATTCCAATCGTGCAAACCAGTCGTTTTAATTTTACTCCTGAAAATAATTATAATATAAATAAATAAAAAATAACAACAACACACAAGTGTGGGAGAGCCATGCTTCGGCACGAATGGGTCGGCTCGACCGGAGTGATACCACGGCCTCACAGAAGACCGGCGTGAAACAACCACAGCGTTGTGTTTCGCCATGTGAGTGAGGTTACCGGAGGCCCAATCCTTCCCCGCCCCCAATCCCTAAATCTCCAAATCCCTAATCCCTAAAAGGTCAGCAATGCTCTCGTAACTCCTTAGTTGCGGGTGTCCATGTGCGGCGCTGATTGCTTACCATCAGGTAATCCGTCTGCTCGTTTGCCGACCAATTACATAAAAAAACATGAAATATGATACTCTATTACTCTTCTACTTATAAAATCCCTTAGCAGAAACGTTTCGGTCTCTATAAAAGGAGAAACGTATTCAAATATCAAGCAACAAGGGCTGAAGGCGCCTACTCAGTAATAAATAATTAATGTTTCAATCTCCACGGAATTCGACACTGAGTGCTAAACAAAGTTTGGGATCATGTTCAGAGGTTATTGCTCTGTGTTAGGAGTTATTATATACTTTCCTTAGACTATAACTAAGTTTCAGACCGCGGCTTCACTTGTTTAGTAACAAAACGTGCTTCCCCCCTCGACTTGATTTCCCCTCCTTTTCACTATCGTACCCAATGATATTAAAATGGTATAGATAGGTTACATAAAAAACATTCGATTTTCAAAAACAGGAGGATTCAATAATCGCGAGTGAAAAAGAGACAAATATGTAAAAATGTGGCTAATTAGCCACATTTTAATGTATCACTTGCTGAGCGCTTGTAACCTATCTACACCTGTTTTTTTTGTCAGGTTAAAATCATCCAATGACTTCTCCCGCCCAGGGTAAGGCGAGAGAGAGTGTCAGACTCTTACTGACTAAAAACCCCCGTTCCTTCTCCTGCTCTGGGCCGAGGTCGCGGTGCCTCATTGCGCTTACCCCTCAGCCCCGGCTGAACATCAGGCCTATTGGGCCCCGACTGTGGTGGTCTATTGGCTCTTTGAGGCGCGCGCGGAACGCTACACGCCGTACGCTCGGGAACAGAGCACATATATATTTCTGTTGCCACTATAGCCATAAGTCAAAGAACAAAACACAATAAATACTGTTTCTGACACAAAACGAACTAAAATTTGACTTTTCGTACGTGAGTCCGAATCGGTCTTGGTTGTTTTTTTTATATGAAAGCCTGGTGGAAAATGATTATGCAACCTACCTATAAGCAACCTATTCAGTCGGTCCTTGAGGGTTATATCCTCTGGGGAACACAGACTCCGGCAAAAAATTCTAGTCAGCACCGCTAATCAGAACCGTCCGATAATAGATCTGAAGGCGAATTGATTCGTGTGTGTAGCTGAAACATCCACCATAAAGCGATGCCTGATCGATGCATGATTTTGCCGATTGTCTGGTGGTAAGGTGCAGATAGGTTCTTAAGGACCCTCATAAAAAAGGACTTGTTGCTATGACGGTAACAGGAATATTTTCTGTCCAAATTTTGAACTATTTAGCTATGATGGTTTATGAGACGGATCAACCAAAAGCGGAGTCTTAGTAATAGAGTTCCTAATGTCCTTTGGACACTGAATTTAAAAAATGTAACCTATAAAAATATATATTAACCTTCTAACTATTTATACTTGGGCATAAAAAATATATCGTTAACCTACTGGACCGAACTATTATTATTAGATTTATGGGATCAAATCGCAACATTTCTGCGTTATAACAAAACAGAATCGCGTAAATCGGTCAATAAACCTCGGCGTAATTGGCGTACATAAACAGAAATAAAAAAGTATAGGATTACCTGAATTTAAGTATATCCTCCATTACGGAAAGTTGGTTAAAAAGGTCTGTTGCGAATGTAAAAATAAGAGAAACACTAACAACACTACCAAACTTATAAAATTACTGAAATATATGGAATGCGCTTTAAAATCTACATACCTATCTATGACACGCCTGCATAACTATCGGAAATTCCTCTAACGATATTTTCCTGACAAGGTTAAGTAATTACGTTAAAATTAACTATGTTTAAGAATATTTGTTCAAGTTATCAGCCGGAAGTCGTCCAGAGCTGAGAAAGGCCCTCCCACATCACGGGGCTATTCTCATAATCTCCAAGCTTGACAGACAACTTGGAGATCTGAAATCTTATGCAACAAACGTCAGTTACCTGTACTGACTCGAAAGTAATAACAACACTCAAGTTATGTGTTTAAAATTAAGCTAGACGCAAGACGGTATCTGTTGAAACTGCGCTCCGTTGCAATTTAATTAAAATACTTGCCGAAACTGAAATTAAAAGGCATTCATGAATACTGTAAAACAACGTAGCGTTAAGCTGGATGTAGTTTCGTAAATTCATTGCATTATTATGCAGAATATGTATATATGTGGAGGTATACCTCAGATGAGAGGTTTTATCCTCATAACAAACTGTTAGTGGGAACTAGTAATAGATTAACTGTTGAATATTTTAAACCAAATTCGAAACAGGAGAGAGGTTCTTAATTCGCAACCGATTCAAAACCGTGTATCGTATATGTTTTTTTTATGTTTTTAACTGATTCGCTTGTTGCTTGTCTTTCGTTTTGCCACGTGTGGGAGAGTCAAGCGGCACGAATGGGTCGGTTCGACCGGAGTGATACCACGGCCTCAAAGCAAGCCGGTGTGAAATAATCACAGCGTTGTGTTTGAGGTGTGGTTGAGGTTATTAAAGACCTAACTCCCTCCTCCTATCCCTCTACAATCCTTAAATCTCTATTTAACCCTTACTAAACGAAACTTCTTTAAACATATACACAAAATACAGTTTTAGAATATAAGCGATTGTAGGTTTCACATATAGACAATATTTTTTTTCTTTTTTATAACATAAGTGTAATTATTAGTTGATTGACCACACACATTTTGATTGTTACAGTTATGAGCGGAGCAGGCACAGAACTACTTGTTCTAGGGTACGACGTAGCGCCAGGTCTACTGTAAGTAAACCTTTTTTGATTTATTTATTTATAAATTCGATTGACCTGTTGGTATAATATTTTGACCTCTGACATTTATAGAATCCATTGTAGGTTAAAATTGATATTACAAGGCCCATAATACTTATCCGGCGTTTTGTCTGCAAAATAGAATTGAAAATCACGTCATCTAGATTAGAATTAATAAATCAATGACTCAAAATGATCAAAAATAAGTTTTCTGACATCAGAAGTTGACTCAAAACCTTGTTCACGATATTTTTAATTATAACATTTAAAACATAGAAATAACAGTATCTAAGCCCAAAATCACAGCATCGAAACTCTATACAATGTTGACGATTTTACCGATATTTTGAAAGATTCAATCTCCAGTACTGGACGAGTTATCTACATATTATTGAATTCTTCACTGAAAAAACTTTTAGAACAAACTGAAATTGAATTTGGATCAGATAAGCTGTAGGTACACTCGTGCCTGTCGACACGACGACGCTATTCTGTCATCGCCTTTGTGTTTATATTTTCGAAGGAAAAATCTGTCAGACGAAAGCTGTATTTGTTTTGTTGAAGACTTGAAGTCACACTTTGTTTGCTATATTTTCTTTCACGTATTAACTTACGCCTTCGGAGTAGGTTGATAGGAAAGAGCTGTGAGTACCACCTAATACAATACTTCTTTAACTTTTTTGTATAGATATCATGAGATATATAGGCACTAAATTTATTGATAATAACGACTTACTCACGTGAGTTGACTGAGAAAAGCTCGACTAGTTTCAAGTCAAAACGGGAGTCTTATTCATAAGCAGCGTGCTTTTTCTTTAGAACATACATGTACTTGATGGCGTTAGTTCAGAGATCTGTTCTGTGACATCTGAACCATCAAACATTTTAACAGGGTATTCTCCACATATGGGATTCGATAATATGCTCATATTGGTATATATTATCGTGCAGTCGTGCACATACACCATACACGTTGCACATCTTTGCCTAACTCGTCTCGGAATGCATAAAGGTTTGACTTAAGTAAATTTAAGTGGCTTAATCGATAAAACTAAAAGGGCACGGTACGTGGCCTGCAAGATCCTCCAATTTCTCTTTCCAGTCATGTAATTAGAAGAGATTCAAAGGAAACGAGCATTGAATTAAAATTGTTTCTTAAAATTTCCACAGAAACTATTTCCTTAATCCCATTAGGTACATTCGAATTCAATAACGACTGGAGTCCGTACTTGTGTTTTCCGAGCTTGTAACAAAATTTAAGACAAAGTTTATACAATTTATGACTCTCTCCTTAATATTGGAAGACTGTTATAATTTTTTTACAGCTTTCTATTTTCAAAAAAGAATTTTAAATTTATCGTCGCAAACAAACGTTTTACAGGAGTTATTTAAGGAAGCAGTTTTATGTATTATTTTTATTAAAATTAAAAATTGCTACCTGTGCCCATGTGTTGTGTGTTTTAAAAAACAAATCATAATTATGGCGTACCTCTAGGTACGGGATGGCGGGTCATTCCTTTCCAAATTGAAATTCCCGAAAGGGTTTAAACGTAACACTATTTTGCTCTCACAAAAATGAAAAAAAAAATACGAAAACAGAATACAGGCCTAAAATATAATACACAGGTTTACGTTAAAAAAACAGGTTCAATGGATTAAAATGTCTACTTACTTAAAGAACCTTTTACTACATACTTTCTTAAATGTATACCTATTTTCTAAAGGCCTCTGTTTAGTCTGACTGGAGACCCTCTTAATGTTGATTGATAAAAATAGATGAGAGACGTTAAAACTAGGTATTGTTGAAATGATATAGTTATTCCTTTGAGGGGAGAAAATCAATAATTGTTGTCTCGCCCAAGGTGAGACGAGAGGGATGGTCAAACTCTTACTGACAATATAATCACCCTGTTATTTTTCGTGCTGTATCTTATTGTGGTTGATCCGCAACCTTGGCAGGACATCGGCAAACGATCAGACGGATTACCTGATGGTAAGCAATCGGCGCCGCCTATGGACACCCGCAACACCAAATAAGTTACGAGTGCGTTGCCGGCCTTTTGGGGTTAGGGGTTGCGGATAAGAGGATCGGGAAAGGATCGGGAAAGGATAGGGGAAGGGGAGGGATTGGGCCTCCGGTAACCTCACTCACACGGCGAAACAACGCTGGGCTGTTTCACGCCGGTATTCTGTGAGGCCGTGGTATCACACCGGTCGAGCCAACCCATTCGTGCCGAAACTTGGCTCTCCCACACTTATGGTCCTATCTGTGGGGGTCTATTGGCAATTTAAGGCGCGCGCGGGACGCTATGCGCTGTATACTTTGTGATTAAAACGCGCTCATAAGAGGATAGGGACGTGTGTAAAATGCGATAAACTACTCACAAACAGATATGACAGCATTAGATTGATAGATGAGGCTGATGAAGCATGACAGGAATAGCCTACCTTCAGCCAAATTTAGAAATAGTATCAATCTAGACATATATTTATATACTGTGTTGTATACATGGAAACCGTTTCAAGAAAATTAGGTTATGATTACAGATTAGGATATGTGTAATCTACAATGTAGTAAAAACTTCTTTTTCTAAAAATTAAAAGACTTTCAACGAAAGATACTTTAATATTTTTACTTCGGAATGTAAAATAGAAGCTCGCTGTAGAGGCTAGTGAGTAATCGAAGTTTTTGAACGATACCTTTAGGATTTTCTTAGTAAATACTTTTGAGACGTATAAAATAAAACCTATATAGTAAAGTCAATTTCTTTATCTAGTCTCTCTTACACTTTGATTTAGGAAATAGGAAGGATATAACTAGGAACCAATCATATTTTATAGTCTTTATAAAAAAAAAAAAATATGGAAAATATTTTGCAGGGGATGTAAATTGCTCAGATGTCCGCGTTATTTAAAAGCATGAGCAACTTTGAGCGTATTTTTGGGTGATGCATGTACACCATCTATTTCCTAGTTTACGCCGTATGAATCTAAATGGTCGTAAATGTCACTCCTGCTCGGATAGTTTCGGGCACTAATAACCGAAACTTGTAATTAGGGAGCCGGTTTACGGATATCCATAAACTTTTTCATGGGGCGAAAGTTAGCGATCGTCTCAGAAGAAAACTTAGTGGAGAATTAATTACTTGTGTGTTGCTAATCTGTTTTTATTCGATATTGGCTTATGGTTTACTCGCGGGATCAATATTTTATTCGGTATCCAAAAGTATTCTTTTTGTGGCATTTATTTACAATTAAGTTTATTCCATACAGTTCATCTTAAATAAAGACCTTTGGAATGAACATATTGGATTGCAAAATTTGATCTCGCAAGACAAAGTAATTGATCAACATATAAAATTAACAAACCATATCATCGAATTCTCGCAATATCTTACTTGTTTGAGAGGTGATAGCAATTTTTTTTTTCGTTCATAGGGTGGGTGCAGCTCTAGTCCTGATTCTGGAGACGATGTGGGTGGCAGCACTGTTCGTGGACCTGCTCTGCAGGCGTGGGGAGTACACCCTGTCACTGCGCTGCTGGGACTTCACGAGGTGGTCCTGTGGCCGCGCTCGCGCTGCCATGTACGCTTGTGGCGCCACCGCACTGCTCTTCGCTCATCTCACATTGTTTGCTACCATTTCAGGTTAGTTTTTATTTATATTTTATGACACAATACAGTTAATGTGCGGTTTCATGTCATGTGTGTCTAGTATGAAGAATTGTACTAAATTGAAACGTGTGTAATTGGAGTAGATATAAAATTTTCTGTTTTATGTTACTTTTTTCTAATAAAACTTTCTATTTCCTTACTTCTTGTACATAATAGAAATAACAGTTCAAATAGAGCCGGCAATGTCTTACCATTCTTCTCAGCCTTCACCATAGTTTTCCTAACTAAAATTTTTGCATTTAATAAATGATTCATCCGCATATTTTCCCGCCGCGTCGCCACTCGAGAACACAAAGTTCTGTACATTTCAAAACTTCTTTTAGCTTTGTCAGTTGCCGCGCGACCCGAATTTTGTTTGTGCAAGCCAAGAGCTGTTTACGCGCCATGTTTTTCTGCTAAGACGTTACTACTAAGTATTACGAGTAAATAGGACTTAAGGAAAGCATTCCCACTGCCATTACTCTTTGTTCCCTCATTGCTTTACTAAGTGCGTTCGAACTTGGGTCTTGAAATTGGGCGCGTTTGACCAGTTTTCCTGGTCGAAATTCGGTCGTTTTTCCATGTGTGACTAATTGGCCTACATAGAAAACACACAAACATACATAAATGTAGAATACTTTTAGAGGTCTTTTTTTATGTTTCACCACTATATTTATTATGGTATTAATGCCAATATTGTAACAATAGGCTCTTAGATCTCCAATCTGCAAATTAATATATTGGTTTTTTCCACAAAAAATAAATACAAAAACCTATCTACATCTAAATAACAAAATGTGCACTGGATTTTGGAAGAAAAGACGTGATAAGTGATGTTTTTGTACTTTAAAGTTCGAAGCGGAGTGAGTCATTAACGAATTACAATCGGGCGACAATAAATCTTGTGGCACCCAACATGGGACTTCTGATTTTCTACCGTGACCCTTGTATGACGGGCCATGTGTCTTCCTTTCGTGAAGACGAATAAGGTGTGGCTTTTGTTATTTGATCAGAAGCGGAATTGTGACTTTTAGTTGTGAAATCTTAGGAATTGATTTGTTTATTACATTTTATATAAAATACCTACTTTTCTAGAAAGGTAAAATTTTGGTGCGTGGAGTATGTTAATAATTTCATCGACATTATGGAATTACAAACTTACTATTCATCCACATCCTATTCAAATTATAAACGAGGAAGTTTGTAAGTATGGATAGATGAATGTGTGTTGAATTAAATTTGGTATAGAGATAGATTATAGTCTGAAATAACAACATCTATACTATACTAATATTATAAAGAGGTAAAATTTGTAAGTTTGTATGTAGGGGGTAATCTTTGGAACCGCTGGTCGGATTGCCAAAATTCTAATGTTTCTAAGTGCTATAGGCTATAAAACATCACGCTATGATCAAATGGAGCCGAGCAGCGGGTGAAACCGCGCGAGAGTAGCTAGTAGGTTATATTCTACCCTGGTCCTGCCTGCAAAGCTGCTGACAGAAGCCAGTTCAGCATACAACTAATAACTTCCTAAACGTTCAGAACAAACGTGTGGGTGTGGGCCTTTATATGTATATTAAAATGCGTGACAAAATTATCTTTATTAAACTATTGTATTTTTACAGTAATATAATAATATATTCTTATCCTTGATAGGTCTTACGATGATTCCTACGCAATACCCTCGCCTACGTAACCCGCCCTAATAATGAAGACCTTTGAGTTTACATTATTCTAATATTAGAAGCAGGTACAGACTCGCACTTTGGATTAATTATTAATCTTAATTAATAATTTACTTATTAATTAAATACGCAGGAATATTTTAAGAATTGTTTTGGTTACGGATTATGTGGTAAGTTAGGTAATAATGTACAAGGTCAAGAAAGAGAATATCTTGTTTATCCAATGGATGTATGAAATGAATTCAAATATACCTATTTGTATCATTATTATATGCTGGACGTAGATAGCTCTGCTATACCTAATAGTCTCTGATTTTTATCTTTGGCTTTTTTCAATCAACTAGATACTGATAGCTATAGCTGCAGATATATCTACGTAAATGAAGGGCAGACGCGGATTGAACCTGGTGATCGCCCTAGGCAAGCACCTCATAGGGATCCCAATTTTTTTATCTCAGTTATGTATCCACTTCCACGCTCGCTCTTCTGTAGTTCAAGGCACTCCCGCGATCTGTCGCCCTAAGCGATTGCCTTATTGCGTCAGGGTTAATACGGCTCTGCTTGGAAGTCACCCTACGTTTATTCTGTCTTTTCTAACAATTATTTCAATACCCATTTCACTGTTGAAATTTTCTCTATCATATTTTTTGCTGACGTCTTTTCTATACTCATCGCTGAAAAAAAAGAAATGTCAATTATTTCCTAATCAAAATGGGTAAGATTAATGAATAATATTTTTTTTGTTACCAGGCGGCATGCTCCTGGTCCTAGCAGCTTTGAGAGCAGCGGTACCCTTCTCCCCATACGCGACACATGGACCTCACTCCCCAAGAGCTGGCAGCTCACTGCTGAGTCAGCATGACTCGCCGCTACCTGACGTGTTCTACAACGCGGCACATAATGAAGAAGACAGGTGAGTGACTGCTGCAAGGTTATTAAGTCCCGGTACTTTTCTTCAGTTATTGGACGATTGCTGAGAATATTTGTTTTTCCATAGTCGCCATTTCTGTTGAACTTAGTTGTGTTGTGTAGTTAATTTTTATTTCTTCTTCTTGAATTTAAGCTATAGATAGATGCGTTCACAGGTTGAAAGTCGTGGTGGCTTCTTATTTACGAAGGTGCGGGTTCGAAACTTGCCAAGTACAATTGTGACTTTTTCCGAGTTATATGTAACTACTTTCTATGAATAATTAGACACCACTGACATACGGTGAAAGAAAACATCGTGAGGAATTCTCTACTCAAAATTTCTAATTAAAAGTTTGAAATCGCCAATGTACCTTTACCAAGCGTGGTGATTAATGCTCAAACTTCTACGCGTGAGAAGAGGCCTTTGTTCAGTAGTGGACACTTATACTATACAGGCTGATGATGTGATGTGTAATGTTTCAAATGTATTTCTGAAGTTACTAGGATGTGCAAATTCTGACTGATTGAAACGAATGTGTTTGTGGATAAGGCAACAAAATGTATATTTAAAGACACGATTTAAATGCACAAACATTGCAATAGCAAATAGCCCAAAAAATCAGACAACAGGCATAAACTGGAATATCATAAACGTCCCAAATGGACTATAGAGACCAGATTGAACTAGCTCCATGTAAAATTCAGTTAAATCCTTTTAGGACTCGCTCCTTGAATTGAGTATGTTTGGAAAAGACAAAGAGAAAGGAAAGTGGAATTTGAAAGAATCATAAGCACATCTTATTGAGGTTGATTTTGAAAGATCTGCACGTGTTTAGCAGTTGTTTTTTTAAATCAATTCTACATGCGAGTGTATGATATGATATCTACAATTTTTACGTACAGCAAACTGTTGGATTTCGTAGTTTTAAAGGAGCTTTTTAAATAATCTTACTTAATATGTATCCTAAGGGGATACATATTAAGCTAAGAAGGAGAGCCTAAACACTGTGTGTCACCGTACAGTTTGTATTGTGTCAACTTAACGATGACCCTCAAACTTTTAATAAAATAGGGAACTCCTTCTTAAAAGGCCGGCAGCGCGTTTGTTCACCTCTGATGTTGAGATTGATTTGATTGACAATCAGGTGATCTGTCTGCTCGTTTGCACCACATACCATAAAACAACTTACCAGGTAGATACATGTCTACAGGGTAGGATAATGTTATTCGTTCGCAATTCATATGTTAACTTGCATTGACCTCTAACTTGAAAAACTAGTTATTCTGATTATACATAAATGAAACGTTTAACCCTTTGTGGAGTCGATTTAATACAGTATATATACTAACATATATACATATGCAGTTTCCTACCAGTTTTATGAGAGCGATTGACGCTAAATGCTAACTTATTAGCATAATGCTAAGTGTCATTGTTACATGTGTGTTGTTTTGTGCGTAGATACTTTGTCTTATTCGTATTTGATGATGCAATGGAGAATCATACGTATTTGCTCCACCCAAGGTCCACTTTTACAAATCTGATATCATCTGTCTATATGTGCCCACTGCTAAGCAAAGGCCTCTTCTCACGAAGACAGTTTGAGAATTAATCACCACACTTGCTCAAGACGTATTGGCGATTTTAAACTTAGAAATTGTGTTCAGGTATCCTACGATATTTTCTTTCACCGTTTTGTTAGTGAAGTGTAATTAATCATAGGAAGTGCACATAACTTAGAAAAAGTCATATTTTACCTCATAGGTACATGAGAAGCGGGCACCTTAACATTTTTGAACTTCCTATCAGGAAATCTATTTGATTGCGCGGTTGGTGCGGTGGCTAGGTATCTGGCTGCCGTGCAACGTGTCGCGGGTTCGATCCCCGCACGGAACAACTCTTTGTGTGATCAACAAATTATTGTTCCGGGTCTGGGTATCTTGTGTATGTGAACCTGTATTTTTTGGATTAAACTCTATTTTTTGTTACAGATCAGAAGAGATGACAGTTCTAGATATGAGGACTACGGACAGATCGCGGTCAACGACCCCAAAGCCACCGCTACTGAACTTTGATTCGTGAAATATGTTCAATCGAGACTAGACAACGTTAGTTAATAAATATCGCCTTTGGCAACACCGTTATGCTACATATACTTATGAACAACTTGACGCTGGCATCATTTAAAATAAGAACGGGTTCTATATATTTTCAAATTTTTATTTTTTTTCTAAATTTTATAGGCGTATTAGGGTTGGATTTATTATAAATATGCTTATTAAATTGTAAAAATAAAAGAAGAAGAAACTAATGTTTCTGTGTTATTGTATTTCAAGTATTCTCAATCGGTAATTAGTTCCAAGTTGTTCTACAGTAATCAAGTTTAAGTAGGTGTTTAAATTAGTACTACAACTAATTAATTTATTACTTTTATAATTTTTATACGTACGAAGAAACTGTGATAGTTTAGATTGTAGTTATGTGCGACAAAGTTCAGAGTTTAAAGATATTCTAATTAAATTATTTAAAAAACAAAATATTGTCTATTATTTCCTTCGATATTTATATTATCTACTGTTGTTTTTGACTAAGAACTGCGTAGTAAGAATAAGCTGCCTTCATGATCTGAAACAAACAAAGTTCTCTTGAAATTATTCATTTTCATATTATTTATTCAGTCGGGTTTACAGCTTACAGCGTCTCAATACAACTTCAACTTTATTTAGGAATTTTCATAATCTAATGTAAGATGGATTTGAAGTTCATAATTTTGTAATTGGAATTTCTTGAATTACAAATGAGATTTTATTTAAATTTTTAGTAGCTAGCAACACTATTGGACTTCATTGGCCAGCGAGACAATGGTTAAATAAAAAAAAAATCCTGATATTGATTAGATGTGAGGTTCGATATGTAACTCAAAATTGAATTCAAATTTTCGAACATACCTAAAGCACGCAAAAGCAAGCTTATTATGTATTTCTTGATGAGTGTGAGTGGAATATTGGCTTTAAATTTTAAACTAGTTATCTTCAACCAATTGAGCTGATATTTTGTATACACCTTTTACAAGACTGTATGTCTAAATCGATATCCCATCCCAATCCTTGCCCCTCCACCTATTCCTTCCCAATCCTTAAATATCCGTAACCTTTACCCCCAAAAGGCCTGCAACGCAATCTTTGGTGTTGCGGTTGTCCATGGGCGGAGCCGATTGCTTACTATCAGGTAATCCGTCTGCTCGATTGCCGGACTTATATAAAAAAGAATATAGTCTAAATTCATAAAACATTTAAAAATGTTTATTAACGGGGCTTGTTCACCCATCTCAGCACAAAATCACGTGTTTTTTTATTTAATGTATTTTCTTTGTTTTTTATCTCGGTGTAAGAATCTGTTTTCATGTCTTCGTAAATGTAAATTCTAAAGATAGTACTATTCAATCTAATGAGGCGAAGTATTGCACTTAACCAATACGAATCACCGAGTCAATTGGTAGTTGGGACAACGTATAATGAATGCAATTGAACGCAAGTCTGAGCGAACTAATTCAAAGCTTTCAAAGCGTTAAATTAAAATGTACTCGACTTTTAGATTTTTGTAATATTGGTTCATATTACGGTATGGTAAAATTCAAAGTTGATTGGCGAAAAATTGCGTGAATTTGTTTCATAAAAGGTAGATATAAAAAAAAACTAATATTACATGTAAATTTTTTTTTTGTAAATAGACTAAAAGCTATGAGAAGAAAAGCTGCAAAAAACTCAGAAATCTTTTAGGATCTAGCGAAATACAAAATGATATGATATGGGACGAGTGAACCGTGCAAGGTCATTCTCTAGTGGCTTTTGAAAAAAGAACCACGCCAGTTCGAACTTCGAATTGACCTGTGTTGACGGCTAAATGATATAATTATCATTATTAGGTTACCGGGAGTACTGTGTATAATGTAGTACCTTCATATTTTTTACATATAAGCTGCATTTTCAGGTTCGTTTATCTATTATTAAGAGACACGTTTGAAACGAAATCAACTCCGTTTTATTATATATGTAGTGAAGGTTATTTGATTGTAGATTTTTTTTAGAATTTCTCTCTAACCATGTTTTTATATACTACTTAAGTACATTTTTATCTTGCTTTAAGTTATGACCCATTGTTCAGGAGTAACCAAAGCGTATTCTACGTACTAAGCGGAGGTGGTACACGCGCCGTACTTTCCACATCACTGCTTTAATCACGGAGATTTATTTCGCGCAAGTGAGTAATATCCTAATATAGGTATATTTTTCTTAATAATCTAGAAAGAAGGAAGGAAGTGTAACCAATAATATCTTTAGGATATTCTTAATAGAAAGTTAATATAATACAACTGTTCCTTGTAGGCGGTAGTGGTAGGGGCCTAAAGGTCGTCAACGAATGTAGGAATTTCTGAAAAAAATCTAAATTTCCTTAAACAAAATCAACCCAATTCAGTTTGGCCGTGAAATATAACTTTATCTAGAACATTCAGGCTTAGAGAGAATTACAAAACATATGGCAGATTTCCTGGACGTAATTCCTTGATCTAATCCAACTATACTGCTAATATTATAAATGTGAAAGTTTGTAAGAATGTATGCTTGTCATTCTTTCACGCAAAAACGGCGGTACCTATTTGGTTGAAATTTGGTATGCAGATCGGTGATATTCTGGATTAACACATAGGCTGCAAACATTACCAACATACTTGCGGGCGAAGCCGCGGGCGGAAGCTAGTAACTATAACTAATAAAGAGAGCTATATTAAGCGTCACAATATTACATAAAAGCAACAAAAATTATGTGCATTCGAACCTCAAAATTAACAAAACTTCTGACATTTCCTCGAGGAAAATTAAACGAGAAACTTCTTAATACTCACAGCTAGAAAACATGCGTTATCCATATGTGTGAACCCGGCTGCGGTCAGTCGTAATGGACGCTGTGCCCTCATCATCATTATAAGCAAAAGTCGACGTTGAGACGGCGGAATACGTTCCCATTTGCATTGCATTATCGCGTCTGATATACGTTCTGCCTGTGAATGATGAAGGTAATAAAAAAGGTTGTTTTTAAAATATAGGTTGATATTCCACTTGACTAGTGTTTTTTTTGTGAGGGGAAAATCATCAAATGACTTCTCCCGCCCAGGGCCGGGTGGGAGGGAGTGCCAGACTCTTACTGACTAAAAACCCCCCTGTTCCTTCTTCTGCTCTAGGCCGAGGTCGCGGTGCCTCATTGCGCTTACCCCGCAACCCCGGCTGAACATCAGCCCTTTAGGGCCCCGTCTGTGGTGGTCTATTGGCTCTTTGAGGCGCGCGCGGAACACTACGCGCAGTACGCTATGCCGGGCCTGGTTCTGGTCGGGCGGCGAGCTATCCTTACTCGCCGTCCGCAGACCCGCGCTTACGGTGGCCGGAGATCATCTCTCGATCCCCGAAGCCCGGAATGTCGCCTTCTGCGGTGGCTGGGGCGCGAGGAGGATAGTTCCCTCGGGCGCTCCGCCTCCTCCTTTGCGAGCATAACTGCTTCGCAGAAGGAGGAGATTTGACTAGTGCTTAGGCTCGCTGCTGATTGTGGGCTGGTCTTTTGTTAAAGAGTGCGTAGACGACCGAACCAAACCGCCAACGCCACGCCACTTCAGTTTTTTTTATGGGAAAGGTCGACAAACGCGCAGATGGATTACCTGATGGTAAGCAATCGGAGCCGCCCATAGACACGTAACACCAAAGGAGGTACGAGTTCGTTGCCGGGCTTTTGGGGTTAAGGGTTTCGGATATTTAAGGATTGGGAAGTGATGGGGAGGCAATTAGGCCTTCGGTAATCTCATTCACGCGGCGAAACACGACGCTGTAATTTTTTACACTGATTTTCTGTGAGGCCATGGTAATACTCCCAAAATTGGCTTAGCGGTCCTGCGTTTTCCTTAAAAAATATGCGTTGAACACAGCATCGCATATGTTCTGGAGCAGACAATGGTGACAGTCGGGACGAATCGTCTACATATTGGTGTTTTTACGGTCACAATTCACGACCCGCCCACTCAAAATGTTTGTGAATCAATCAAACTTATGAAGGCAAGATTATGGATTTCAAAATGCAGAAATAAACAACTAAAAAGTATCACTAGTGAGCAGACTCATAGTAATTAATGTACCAGGTAGGCTGACAGTCACGCTGTAAATATAAGTCCCCGTATTGTCACGTCACCACAATGAGCGTACTCTCATATTATATGAGAGTACGCTCATATCTTCATTGCACACAACTTAGTGACAAAGTCACGGTGACGAAAATTACAATAAGTATGCCATTTTCCCCAATGAAGTTATTAGTCATTGCCATGTCTTAAGCAAGTATTGCAAATGTGGGGGAAGATTATAAAATTAGTAGTATTACTGGAGACTTACCTCCAAATGTGTACTATGAAAATATTTTGAAAGACTTATTGAAATCCTCAAAAGTTGTAGTTGCAACCACTCGGTTAACAACTTTGAAGCTGCTTATGAACTTCATTGTTGTTCCAACTACCTACTAGTAAATTTGTTTCGGAGAGAAATGACATTAACAGTAGTCAGTTAGAGCAACTTACTCAAAATTATAGTAGTTTGTAAGCCAAGCTTCGGCATGAATGGGTCGGCTCCACAGAAAATCGGCGTGAAACAAATACGGTGTTGTGTTTCGCCGTGTGAGTAAGGTTACCTTATAACCCCTCCTCCTCCACCCATCCCTTCCCAGTCCTTAAAATCCAAAACCTTTACGACTCAAACGCCGGCAACGCACTTCGTATCTCCTTTGGTATTGCGGGTGTCCATCGGTCGTTTGCCGACCTAAACCATAAAAAACTTATATTATGTACTTACTTGAATCGTTAGCTCATTTCCAGTGAGACATTGCATCCCGAGTTGCAAAATCATGGCCACGAAGAACGCCACTGATGTTATTAGCCTCACCGACTTGAAGCTGGAAGCGTCTTGCTGTAACAAGTCAACATTCATCAATCAATCTTGCATCGGAACCAACACTGAAATCTCTTCCAGTATATTGAGAGAATTTATAAGTATGTGCTTTGTTTAAAACCTTACTGACCAGTCAGCCTCTTACGATAACAAACTGTGTGTATAGTTTGGCGTTCTTGTTGTATCGTAATATAATGTTCTTTGAAGAAATAAATAAATTTAAAATGAAAGTAGAAAATGTACAAATAAATACTCATTTCTGCTAGCGTCTTCGCTTACAGAACCGAAGTAAAAACTAGGGCTATATTTTATTTCAGACTATAATTTAAATTCTGTCTGTGCCATGTGTTCATTAAGATGCGTTTAGAAAGTTTATTCGTGGAAAGGTTATAATGTGCCGATAATTACAAACTTTCATGTTTATAGGTAATATTTGTTTATATAATAGTATAATATCAGGGGGAGGCCTTTGTCCAGCAGTGGACGTCTGCCGGCTGATGATGATGAATAGTATAATCTATATTTATATACTATTATAAAGCTATAGAGTTTTGGAATTGAGCAATAATTTTTGTGATTGTTAATCCATTTATCAGGGAAGGCTATAGGCTATAAAACATCGGGAGCAGCGGGTTAATCAGCGTGCCAGTAGGTAGTCATAGGTATGTAGGCTACAAAACATCGGGGCTATAAAGCAGCGAGTGAATCCGCGGGAAAGTAGCTAGTAATAGGTATAAAATACTTTCCAAATATGAATGTATAGATAAATATAGGTATTTGTATTCAGAACACCTTTTATGGGTCCTAAACTAAGAGAATTTCAAACTAATACAAAAAGTGTATTGCTCAAATGGTGGTCTACATAAGTAGGTATAAATGCAGTCTTTGTCTTACTAAAAACTACGCAATTCTAAACACAACTATTCACTTTTTTAAGCGTAAGAATAGGTAGGAAATTTTTATTTATAATTCATTGTTTGTTTATTTTTTTCTTTACAAACAGTTAGTGTCACAGACATATTCTAAACATCATTCAGCTGTGTGACAAACACAGCTGATTATCATCATTAGCCGACAGAAAGGTGTCTCTTGACACGTTTTTCTCGTTCACAAAGGAAGCTATACAAAAGGCATGTAAGTAATTAATTTTAGGCAAACATCTTCACGGAAAGAAAGTTTATTTGAAGCCTAACAAGAGGCTCGTTATTTTTGGCTCGACGCCAAGAGAGAGACATCAAACTGTCATTTGTAGGACACCACTCACGTTCATGCAAGTCTCAGATTACTCCCGTTCTTGGGCTCTTCGTATTATTTTCCGAAACTTCACCATTATGTCACAATTTTTGAGTACTTGTATGTAGGACTATAGCTCCCGCCCGCGGCTTTGCACGCGTTTGAAGGTAATAAGTCCCAGGATTTTATAAACAGTAGCATTTACCGATAGCTCGACTACGCAATTCAAGTCTTATACTTGATTTGCGTATAGCCTAACACAGAAACAGTGTAGCTATCATTCTATCAGTGAGAGAATTTTGAAAAATCGGTTCCCGTAGTTTCAAAGACTTCCCTACATACAAACTTACAAATTGTACCTCTTTATAACATAGATTAAAAATTCGAATTGTTCTTAGATTTAAAATTCAAATTGTTCTATCAGCTCTTGTATGTAAAGTTATTACTTTTGACGCCAAAATCCGGACTCTTAGCAGATTTTTTAAATCTGTCTAAGAATAACGGCTTTTAGAACCCCTATAAATCTACGTACCTACATTTACGAAGCTTATTAATTAATTATGAACTGGCTGTCTGTTGCAGCTGTTTCCTAAATTATGTAAAAACATGTACATGTCTTGATTGTAAGTGTTTTTAGATTTCTGTCGATAAATTTAGCCGGTTCAATTAATATGTCGATTGTTTGAAGTTACTTTGAAAATGTGTTGAGTAAAGTGTTGAAGTTTGTAATTTTCAGAGCATACATAGTGGTGTATACTCAAGATTTGAGGGTAGAAAAATAACAAATACTTATACTGCTTTGTGAAACAATGGTGATGATAAAAGTGCCATAAATTCTATCTAAGTAAAACCTTTAAGTTTATTGTTAGTCTGTGTCTGTTGTTACGACACAATACATAAAGATAAAGGATCTTCGTAGTACAATTTGAAGCTCTTGAACTGGTGCCCGTGAATTTTGGCGAGCGCTCGAGTGGACACCACTTCACCCTGAACACGGAGCCACGCTTAAATAGAATTTGCCATATTTTGTTAGCAGAGTTACGCAGGCTACGCATGTGTGAGCGCGCCTGTCATGGAAATAAATTCTATTACGCACAAAAAATTACAACATTACATTTTACGCAAAAATATGGAGATGTAATAAAGTCGTATCTATGAATCTTACCGAAACTTGAACCATTACTACGCAAATGGCCGCCATACTCGAGAGCAGTTGAGTCATGAAGCCGTAAGAATAAGTTCTAGAGAATTTCTCCACGCAACTGAAAATAAAGTTAAAAAAAAAGTGGAATACTCATAACAGTAGTATGCGCTGTGAAAACTTTATTCTAATATCTGCGAGGGAGGTGAATATAAAGCACAGATTATGTTGATCTAGGTGTTGAAAAAAGACAAACCAACTGACAATATTGAGGGTGTAATCCTGAGATATTGCTGCACGTCATATCCACGAGAACGCGGTCCCCTTATTGCCTTCGTATCGACTGTGAATTGACATTTTTACGCAGCGGGATACCCATCATTTTTCAGACCTGTCCCTTATTGACCCCGCAAATATCTGTATTTGTAGTAAGCGGCACGTTTCCAATAAGTACGGATTGCGATGTTCATATTGTATTCGGTTGAAAGTAGCGGGATAGTGTGGACTTGATATTTTAATATTAGGTCAATGGGTTTGCATACAGGGTGTATTTTATTGAAGGTCTTGTTCGTTTATTTGACTAGATGGAGGAAATTTTCTTAATATTTAGGATGAATAGTAGAATTTTTACGACAAACAATCAGACGAATCCGCAACAACAGAGGAGTTTCGAGTGCATTGCCGATCTTTTGGGGATTAGGGATTTGGAGATTTGGAGATTTAGGGATTAGGGGGGGGGGGAAGGGAAGGAGAAGGATTGGGCCTCCGGTAACCTCACTCAACAGCGTAACACAAGCTGTGGTTGTTTACTGTGAGACCGTAGTATCACTCTGGTCGAGCCAACCCATTCTTGCCGAAGCATATCTCTCCCACACTTATAAACGTATATTGTGATAACCGGCGATAGTTTGTGTGCTAATTTGTTGAACAACAGACAAGTTTGGCTCACACTGCCGCCGGCGAGCCTTCCAGTTAATTCACATTGCACTTTATGGCAGTTTAGTTACGGCCGGTCCAAGTCGGTTTGCTGCCAAAAACTTTATTGTACTTAGTCTCGGATACCAAACGCGTTTCGTAATAGATGTAAAGCTGTGCTTGTATGTACTACATAAATATGAAGACATGAATGTTATAAGGATATATTAAATAAGTTTATTACATTTAAACAGCCGGACGCGCGAGTATTATTTAATATTAGTAAAGTATATGTGTATTAGCCTGCATAGTCATATTTGTACCATGATTCTTATAAACTGACCGTGTTTGTTTATAATGACTGTAATGTTTCTTATGTTACAGGAATTAAAAACAAAACAAAAATATTAGTAAAGTACTCTTTTGGATTTGGCGTCTACACTTATATTTACAATTGACAGAATTATAGTACTTATTGATTTTGTAATGGCAAGTAATTGAGTTTCATAAATTATAATCGGGTTAGTAAAATTCTAAACTATACTACTATTACTACCTATATACCTATAGATAATGTTAGATTCAAGGGTACTGTGTTATTTTTTAATTATTTTCTATTAACAATTGATTGAGGTGTCTCTATTTAAAAAGTTAGAAATCATTTCTTATTATTTTGATAGCTCGTTTATACCAACACAGTAAAAAAATCCTCTGTATTTAATTAACGGCGCCATCTTTTTTGTACAGTATGCATATACAATTTAACTAATATTTTTTTAAATCTTGTAACCTAAACAGCATTTATTTACGGAGCGAGTACAAGAATTTGTTTCAGGAGCTGAACAGAGAGGTTCTACAATCAGTCTTGAATACTAAATATTAACATTACCTAGGTTAACAAAACGTAAAGGATATACATATAAGTATAAATATGTCAGTAGATACTCACGCTTCTTGAATGTAGATTGCCAGTGTTACAACTTATATCTTTATTTACATTAGTGTATTTGACCCATCTTTTATTTCCATAAAATATTATGTCGTATTTCATTCAAAGGATATGCTCCATATTTTTGTGTATCTACATATCTTGATTTTCGGTGAGAATTCCGTAGTCGAGCCGAGTAAGTTTATTATTTTAGAATATGTTCTGATTTGACGCCATTTATTGGATTTGGTATTATCTATATCTACATTTTTGTTGGTAATATTGAAGGTTCTAATTTAAAAAAATTACGCAATTTTTAAATAAAAACTCAACAGAAAAAGTCATTTTTTTGAACTGGTATCAATTTAAATTTGGAATAAAATACATTATTCCTTAAATTCCCTACGTTCCCAATGAAAAAGAATTAGGAATTAATCTCGTATTTGATAGATTAATAAGTAAAAAGGACAGTATTACAGATCCTTAAAAGTAAATATGGCTTCCCATGGCTTATCTCGGGACGCAATCAAGGATTATATAAATTTATTTCTCCAAATGATTTGTGACCGAATTTCTACGGAATATTTTATTACTGACTCTTATTACACTTGATTCTTTTGTTTTATAAATTCGAAAATGTTCATACATTGACGAAGTCTTATTGCTATTAAATTTCAATTGACATGGTCAATTAATGCAATGAATTTACAATTAAGATCGTATTACTTAGGAGGCAAAGATGATCTGCTTCTTATAGGATTTTTATTATGCTATTTTGGACTCTAATACTCACTTGATAAGGACTTGATGCTGTCGAAAACAGTTCCTAAAAGTATTTTTTAACGCTGCATCAATGTCTTCTTTAGGAACAAAAGATTTGACTATTCTTTCGTTGTTTTCATCTTCGCTTAGTTTTGAAGACTCGCCTTCTCGGAGATTGTTAGCATCCGCATGGACACCTTCCCGCAGTGAAGCTATTGTCCGATCGTACGCAGTTGTTATTGCCTCGTGAAGTATTTCAAACTGGGAGCCCATGTGCAGGATAACGGATGCAATAAACGTGTCTATTGTCATGACAATGTGACCAGTCCATAACAAGCCGACAGTCTCCAGCACAAACGTTGGGATGTACGAAGCGTCTTTCTGATAATCCCAAGGAATATAAATCGGCTGAGGAAGAGTCCTCACTGGCCGCACATCAGTATCATTCAAAGTAGCAACTAATGACTTCCATTTCAGATCTTGTATAGTCCCGTACACGTTGCCGTTCCCAATAGTCACCCAGCCAAAGAAAATAAACGCTGCGGTGACTATTTTTGACATTCTCACCGTCTTTCGATTTTTTTCATCGTTTTGATAATAGTCGTAAATCCCGATTTCTAAAGTGTGGACTATTTCCTGGATATCAGCGTTTTTGAAGAAGAATATGTACAGTTTTATGAGGGTGAGGTTATGGGTGATGACGAAAGAGAGGCTGAACATGAATCGATCCATCTCTTTCTCTCCGACGAATGGGTCTATAGTTTCCAAGCCGACGAAACCGGCTACCCAGATAAGTTGGGTGGCGATGGAGTAGTAGAGATACCATCCTGGGAAGTTGGAGGTATTACCTTCCTCAGGGTCATGCCACCAGCCCAGACCTAGGAATCGCAGGATACGGTAGTGGAAACCGAAGTAATGCTTCGGACGTGTTTCAGTCATGGTGACTTTGTGTGTAATTGATATTCTGTGGTCTGTGACTTGGGCGGTCCGTGATCGACATTATAAATACCACTTTAGAATCGTGCTATAGATACAGGGTGATATAAAATTTATTTCGTCATATTTACATGCTGTACAAAATATTAATACTACTTAAATTTCGTTAAATATTTTTTTTGTGCAACTAAAGATTCTTCATGTTATACTAATAATAGTAGTATAGATAATGATGGCAGGACGATAGTCAGAACTATACAAGCAATGGTATTGTAAACGGTGATTGAAAGTCTATATTTTATGTATATAATGTAGATCTGCGATAAGAATGCACCACGCGACATTTAGGAGTCCGTATAACAAATGCAATCAAACGAACATAATGACATTATGTCACAATTTAGTTAAATAGAAAAAAATATTGTTACGATAACTTCTTAATTGATTTAGTTTAGTAGTAAATAAAAAGAAAAAATCAATCTCTCATAGATATGAACAAATTTTTCCTCGATTATTTCGACCTTCTCGGCAAATTTATGCTTGAATCATTTTATTAATAATCTTAATACATTCCTGGGATTTGCTTATTTATTATAATTACTTCACAAATATTTAATATATAAATTACGATGATGAAGAGAGGAAACATATTTTTTTTATTTCGTCATCAAGCATCTTTGTTTTTATAATGAAATTTCATTACAAAAACATTTATCATTTAATAAACATTAATAAATGTTTTTCACTATTGGTAAGTTTCCCTTTTTAAGCCGCTATTTCATAGATAAATTTGATAAGTTTATTGGGTACTTATAGGAAGGTGGTGTGCTGATATTAGTTGTACGATGGTGGGTGAACCCAAAATGGACTCTTGAATGAACATAGACGGAACCATGTTGAGTTAATGAGAAATTTCCCCCCTAAGGACGGTTTAGTATTTACGATCGGACACAATTTGTGTAACCACAAACAGATTGTATATCGGAACCAATGATTACTGAATGCTTTAGTTTGAAAGATGATTTTAGATATTTAGATTAACCTTATATCTTTAATTCGGTAGGTACGAATGGGTCAGCTGGAGCCGGCGTGAAACAACCAACGTTGTGTTTCGACCTCTGGTGTTGCGGGTGTCCGTGGCGATGCCCACTGCTTACCATCAGATATACACACATAAAAAAGCGACGGATGCTTTTCATTTTCTTAAAACAGCAGTATGTAAAATGTGACACATCATTGGAATACAAATATACCTACTATTTCTCATAACGTAATCTACAAACAATATATGTACTTACTTATCTATAACAATACACACCTTGGTGTTAAAAAAATACTGTATCAAAACATTCGTGAATTTAACAGAAATACGAATTCATTCATCCTGATTTTCATTAATACGTAAAAATATTTTTAGGGCTCTGCTTCAGGCGGTCGCCTGTTGGTGGGCGAAAAAAGTGGCCGTGCATGTAACTACCTATTTAGGGCAACCCTGTAAATTTGCAAGATGAGGTTGTTAAAAAATAATTTCATTCTTTTTTTTTATAAATTATTTCATTAATTTAGTGAACCGCATTAAGCCGGCTTGGATTATTGTATTTTAACAATATGCAAATACTTTTATGTTACAATGTGATGAGGGGAATTACTTCGATAGTTCACAATGTCTATCATCAAGTGCGTTTTATATTAAAACATCAAACATCAACATGAAAAAAAGTGATTGTGAAAAATTGATAAAAACGCTGTAAATCGTATTTTGATTTTTTTATGTGAGAAGAAAGTTCTTACAGTAATATTAGAGAGATTTTCCGTCTACGTAGATTATGTTTCAAAATATTTAGAGTCTATTCGCTATGAATGACTTCAGGCGCGAATCTATGTTGTAAGCTATATATTGAGGAGCGCGTAAACCCGTCGATACCACGTTCTATATCAAGATTTATGAGCTAATACTAGTAACCTAACCTAAACTAACAGACTTGGAAAATCTTTATATTAGATCTATACTAATATTATAAAGAGGCAAAATTTGTAAGATTGTATGTTTGTATGTAGGGGGGTAATGTTTGGAACCGCTGGTCGGATTTCCAAAACTCTTTCACTGATAGATAGCTAAAATGTTCCTGAGTGCTATAGGCTATAACACACAGTAAATAGAGCCGAGCAGCGAGAGTAGCTAGTTTTTCATATTTTTGTGTAAATTAGATACGTAAGTAGTACGTGTTTTTTTTTGGGATGTGTCAGTAAACCAGCTGTCTTATCATCTGGTGTTTAGCAATGTTGGTCTAGATGGACACTCGCAACGTTTGGGAAGTTTCAAGTGCGTTGCCAGACTTCTAGGGGTATTAAATTTGAACATACAAGGATTTAAAGATGAGGGGAATGGGGGTTTGGATCTCTTAATATGATTGGCCGATTGGGAAATTATCCCCCTTGATATAACAGATACAAAGGAGAGCCATGCTTGATATATGATAAGGAACTAGGGTGAAGTAACGTTTGCGTTGTATTTCGCTGTGTGAGTGACGTTCCCAATATCCCCAATTATCCCAATTATCCAATTATCCCCAATTATCCAATTATCCCCAAAAAGAAGATCACACACCTGTTACTTCTTTAGTGGGCGGGACCTATTTCCTATTAAAAAAGATGGCCCAATAACTCACTGTTACCACATCTTTGGTAGGTAACATTATACCCTAAAACCTGATAAAAATAATACGAAGAATAATATTAATTTCTTATTTTAGAAAATTCCATTTAAGTTTTACATTACGCGAAGATGGTAATATCCGTGCTTGTGTCCTCTTGAGACCGCTCTGATGACGGCAGAGACGAGATACCACTTAGCCTCGCATTTTCACGAACCTTGTAACAAATGTAGGTACTGTTAGCCAAGTTATCTGCTATAATGCATGTAAGAGCTGATTCTTCAATAGTCAAATAAATGTTGTCTGAGGAATAAAATTGTTGCTGTCACTGTCTTGTACAAACATTCTGACGCGACAGCATCATAATTATTCCCCACGTAACTTTTATGTAACCATTGAAAAATCATCCCTAAGACAATTAAGACGTTACAAATCATTTTGTGTCGATAAGAAGTGTCTTTTGACTACACGGTGGGCGCGGGGTCGATTCCCGCACGGAACAACTCTTTGTCTGTTCCACAAATTGTTGTTCCGTGTCTGGGTGTGCTGTGTATGTAAAATAATATTTTTGTGATAAACGCAACCACGACTCAGGAGAAAATCCTAATGCGGGGCAACATTTTTATAAAAAAAGTATACGATTTACTTTTCATAATTTAGTTATCGCAAAGTCTCTTCGTTTTACTTGATTCTTTCGTATAGTATCTGTTGGGACGGATACAAAATTTATTGGAAATAACGAATTAATTTCATGAATTATCTCAGAAAAGATGTAAACATTTTCATCATAGTTACAAGTTATAACGGGACTCGTGGCGTCGCGGAACTGGCGGCGACGTCGCGAAGCCGACTGGACAATATTAAATTACCTGGAGCTGATTTTTTAATGGTTAAATAAAAGTTATCTAGGGAATAATTATGTTGCTGTCGCGTCAGAATGTTTGTATAAGACAGTGACAGCAACAATTTTATTCCTCGGATATTTATGACTATTAAAAAATCAGCCCAAGCGCAATAAGGCACCGCGGCCTCGGCCTAGAACAAGAGAAGAAATGAGGGGTTTTTAGTCAGTGAGAGTCTGACACTCCTTAACCTGGACTTAATATGTGTATTTTCCAGGGCTGCTGGTGCAAGAGCAAGAATGTACTGCGGTCACGGCCCGAAGCAGGACAAGGGTTGTTTTTAGTCAGTAAGAGAAGTGGCACTCTCTATCGCTTCACTTAGGAGCAGGCCTTTAAAAAATGATAAGTTTGGGTTCTTGTTATTTAACAGGACGGCAAACGAGCGGACGGATTACCTGATGGTAAGCAGCCACCCGCACTGGCAACAAAATCGAAGCTATGAGTGCGCTGCCGACCTTTTGGGGATAAGGGGCTCTGAGATATACGCTTGGGGAGACATTGTTAATATATTTTCATCACTAAATTCTTATTCCCGTGACAATATTACGCATGAATTTTGTGTGACTTTTATGGATATTGGTTTTGTATGTTAGGTAGTACTAAAAGCCTATAAGCTACGTTAATAGGTCAGTAGGATAGTTACAATTGCGTGTAACCACATCTACCGCCAATGTCTGCGGATGACCGAGCACGTCCCATAGTTGACCGTGTAATTGTCGCTTGTGATTAGCCTATGAATCTATGAATATCGATGTGTTTTGGTCCTTTGGAATTACTATTGCAGGTACACTAGTGACTCGTTCCGGCTTCCCACGGGAGCTATGCTGATACTTAATTTCTCCAGTATTTAATGAATGTTTATCATCAATCAATGCATATAATAAAATTGTAACAGGTTGGTGTCTGTGGTATGGTATGGAGGATCAATAAGAAAAACTCTCCAAGAAGAACTTTATACACGCAATACGCAATAGAACCCAAAACAATGATTTTTAGAATTTTTTGCCTGTTTGTCTGTATGTCGGATTGAATGCGGTTTTCAATATTGCGTCCCTGTTTGCCTTTTCATTCTTTATGATGATGAAGATGATGATGATTTGTTTGTTACTGACTAACCCCCCCCCCCCCTATTCCCTCTCCTGCTCTGGGCCGAGGCCGCAGTGCCTCATTACGTTTGTCTCACAACCCCGGCTTAACATCAGCCCTATAGGGCCCCGTTTGAGGCACGCGCAGAATGCTACGCGCTGTAGATAAGTAATACTAAATCCACTAATGAAAATGCTTAGGAAAACTCTAAGTCATCAAACTAAATGTCAAAATTATTTTGTAATTTTTACTACGTGAAAAGCGTGTAATATATTTTTTCTTGGTAATAATAATAATCAGTGAAACTTTTTTTAACAACTGAAAAATGTCGAAGAAAATTTAAATCTTGCAGGTATAGGTA